GCTCAGGAGTAGCTGGTCAACTCAAAACAGAATCCATGTATTTGTGTACCTTTTTTGGCTTTGTATTTGTTATTTTTGTCTCTTTTTTTCTCTGGAATTTGGTAAAGGTAGATCTTAAGTATTCTCACTAGGAAAAAGAGGTAATCATATGAAATGACTAATAGCTGGATTGTGGTCATTGTATACTTATATAAATGCCAAGTTTTACACCTTAAATATATGCAACTTTTATTTATTAAATTATGTCTGCAAAAAGCTGAAAGAGAAAGAAAAATGTGAAAAAAAATTTACAATACCAAAGCTAAAATATAAAGTTTCAGAATTTATTCATATGTATGTATATATGAGTATGTATATGCTAAATGCATAAAATGGAAAAGAATAAAACAAATTTTAAGAGTGTTTACTTGAGAGGCTTGAGCCAAGTCAATAAGAGTTTTTACTTGAAGGTCCTGGCATCTTAGTAATAGAGTATCTTTTCTGTACAGATTGATCAAGAATGTTAGTCTTACTGTGCTTCAAACTGAGCAAATATCTCTTGGTGACATCCCATCATAAAAATATTAAGTGCAGTAAAATATCTTTTCTTTGCATTTGTGCATGTGTGAATATATAAGCCTGTTAAAGCCATAGGTCAATCCTGGCATCCTCCTCTGTTGCTTTGCACCTCATTTTTTTCTATTTGTTAAATCAATTTCATACATTTCTGTTACTTTCGCCTTCACCATCTCATAACTCTCTCCCACCTCCACTAACTAAGACTCCTCCCTGCTTCCACATTCAAGCCTTTTGTTTTGTGACTTACTGAGTTTAATCAGGCCTGTCTGGTAAATGTGAATGGCTGGAGAACTAGCCACTGGCTCAGTGGTTTTACAACTGAAGACAATGACTTCCTTCCCTTGGGACCTATCCACCTTATTCTTTACTTTTTTACATTTATTATTACTTGTGCAAATATTTTCCTTTATTTGCAAGCACAGTTTATGACATAAATGTGGAGGTCACAGGATAACCTGCAGGAGCCAAATCATTATTTCTATTGTATAGAACCTGAGAAATGAAGACAGTCCACTGGACTTGGGAGCAAGTGTCTCAGCCTGGTGCTTGTGACACAGCATACAGCTTGTGAGCCCTCATCTTACATTTTGAGACAAGGCTTTTTACTGAACCTAGAGCTCATCATTTTGCCTAGGGTGGCTAGACAGTGAACCCTGAATCAACCTGGTCCTACATCTACCCAGTGCTGAAGTTATAGACGAATGCCACTCCTCATTTTTAACTGGGAGATGGAAACATAAGCATCAGGTCCTGATGCTTGGTCCAGGAGTGATTCAAACACTTTGCAGTATAAATTGCAATACCAGGTATGCAAGAAATGCTTGAAATTTCAATTTCCAAATCAAAAATACAAAACCTGTAATAGGAAAATTCAAACTTAAATGTTTTTTCCAATGACAAAGTTTTGATATCAATGTAGAACATAGTGTTCATACTACAGCATATGCTGCTGCTACTAGAGAATAAAAATCGATTTGATCATAATTCCAATATTAGATACCTTTACATGAGAACCATCTCATCAATTTCTGTAAGCGGCCCAGCCCATTAGGGTTTCTTTTTTGACCCTCTGTAGACATGAACACACAACACAACTGTCCCTTTGTTACTGAAGTGAGGTACAGATTACATCAGATCTTCAGCAAGTCTTTACATAACACACTTCCCTCTGTCCAAATAACACAGCAAGACTGCAGCCTGTAATTCTCAGCACTGTCACAAAATACCAATAAGGCTTTATAAAAGAAATAAAGGTAAAGGTTATAAAGTTCCATTGAGGATATGCAAAAATGACTGTGTCCTACCTACACTGAACAAACCTTTAGTACAAATACGCACTAGACTTCATTGGTAGAAAAAAAACAACAAAAAAAAACTTTAAAAACGATCTAAGGTGGAAGTTTTAAAGTAAACAGTAAATCAGTTATTTATCAAAATCAAACTAAAAATTTACAGCAAAGATGATACAGTAAAAATAAAATAGGTACATAAGTAAAAGAATAATAAGAAACAAACTGATTTTCACATAAAATAATAACTTTTAGAATAGAAATGCTCCAAGAACTCTATAAATAGATGAAATTTTTACTGTCTTTATCTTAATTTAAGAAAATAGGGAAATGTTCATACTATCAACATTGCTCTATCAAATTCCAGATTACATATAAAATATTTGAATATATGATAAATGTATTAGATATAAATATTTTTAAGTATTACTAAGATTCTCTGAGATATACCTACTTACTTATAATAATTAAAATAAAATCCTACCTGAAACAAGTTTTCCTTTTGGCCCATGCCATTGGAATGATGGGTCTACCAGCTCAGTATTTCTCAGTCGTTGAGTTACACATAGCACATGTGGACTCTTTTGATGAAGCATAACATATACGCTCACTGAAAATACAATATTAAAATGTTCCAATAATATTTTATGTTATTTAATTGTCTAATAATACCTTATATTTTGCAGCTTGTGTTACATTCTCTGACATTTCTTTGGCTCCTATTACTTGATAACTTAATTTCACTGTCTCCATATAATTACATTTAAAAGCATACAGTGTGTTTTATTTGATTGTGTATATACATGTAGTCACCCACGTGTCAGGGTATGAATGTATGTACTGAACATGAATGTAATATGTTGATCCTTTTTATTCAGAGCTCACATCAACTACCCAGCTTAATCTCAAAGTATAACTATAACAACAGTATTAAGCTAATTCTCTATCTGGACTTCATACGTGTTGTAAAAACATCAGACATGAACACAGTCGTATATACATTTAGATGAGAGGAACAGTATATTGCTTACAATGGTATAGCATAGTGTACTAAATAAAAGTAATAAAAAGTAATAATGTGATTTTAAAAACTGATAAATATATACAATGGTTGATTTTTAAATATTGTTCATTTTGTCATACTCTTCTTTTAAAGAATCATGATAAACAAAGATTCTTTAGGAGATACAAAAGGAGCACAAAGACTCAGTTGTTACGAATCTACTCAGAACTAAGCGCTCAAGTCCCAGTAACCTGCCAGCAACTACATGCCACACTTCTCCCATTCACCAGAGCCAGATTTTTTGTGATCGAGTAAAGTAAAACTTACTTTTAGTAATCAAGATTCTTAATATTGAAAGATTTTATATTTTACAACAAAACACATTTTAAATATTCATAGTCTTTGATCATTTATAAAATCTTGTCTGTGTTTTGGGTATTGGTATTGAATTTTAATTTTTTTTTCTATCACAAGATGTTTTTCTTCTTCAACGTTTTCATTCATGACTGATGTTGACTCCCTATAAGTCTTATTGATTGTGTATTTACTTAATAATTATTGGATCCAACTGGCAAACATTCTTCTAGGATCCTGACCACTATGTTTATAAATATAACCATGTATAATTTTCTTATATTACCCTTTTCTATTTTTACTATTTTAAATACTTAGTGTCCTTAAATATTTAATAGTCAACACTATTCTTATTATTCTTGTTCTTATTTGTTATTAATAAGCTAATGATTTAGGATCATAATGGCCACATGAAAAGGATTTAGTATATTTTCTGCTATAACCTTTCTCTGTAAGTATGCTTTTCCCAGGTCCTTTCTTTTACATTTTAGTAAGGGAGAGATCAGGAAAATGCTCTATGAACTGTACTAGGATTGAATTTAATAGCTACTAGTCTAATAATTTAATAAAATCCAGTTTAGAAAATTTCCAGTTATCCAATTTTATATAAAACTGTAAAATTACACAGAGTAAATTACAAGTTTTATTTGACTCTCTCTATTCATAACACCTTTCTTTCATTATTTTCTCATGAAGTTATTTGCCAAAAACTATCTTTTAAATGCTCCTCAGGCAGCTTCTGATTCATTCAACATTCTACTTCTGCTTTCCTCTTATTTCTGTTCTTCATTTCTCAGTTTATGTCTTTTTCCAACCTCTTTAAGAGGTGCTCACACATCTTTGCACCTTGCCATGATGTGTGGCTGACATCTTCTCTCTAGTCTATAAGTTGCATGGATCTCACCTTTCTATATCCTGTATCTTTTTCAGACCACAGCAGTCCTCAGGATCACCCCTTTATGATTTTATTCTTGTATCAACCTAGTGTCTCTTGACTTTTGGAAAGTGAGTACAAGTCTCTCCTGCTCTGGCTCTCTGATAGCATTATTGTGACTTGCCTGTAACCCTCCCACTAATTCTTGTGATTTTGATCCTAGCAACTTCAATTGAGTTTAAGAGTTTCTCAGCACTATCAACAGACCAAAATAAGTAATATTCAATGACATAAACAATCAAAATGCACTACATTTTCAAAGTGAACAGATGTTAGATACTAATGAAACAAGACATTTGTGAAGAACATCATCTGCCTCCAGAAATAAAAGTAATTAGAACATACTGTTTATAATCATGGGAATACAATGTTTAAACTTTTCTGGACATTTTAGTAACAGTTTAGGAAAGCACAACCAATAAGCTGACAATTCATGGTTGTAGGATTTTTTCTCATAAAAATATATTCAATATTTATTTCAGAGAGACTCACAGGAAATAACCTGGGAGTAAAGATATCCACAATTCTTATTTATTCATCAGTTCAAACTGTCACACACACACACACACACACACAGAGAGAGAGAGAGAGAGAGAGAGAGAGAGAGAGAGAGAGAGAGAGATCCCTTTAGAGTTATCAATAATAACTGATCAGCACTTCCCAATGTAATTATATATGTCATTTGAAGTGAAGGCTCTAAAGATTTCAATTTCTCTATAGCTATACTCAAGTACTAAACTTTATTTTTGTGTCATGGCCTATTGACAATAAGACTAGGGCCCTTGTGGAACAGTTGTCTATAATGTAAAGATGGATAATATGGTTCTGTGATCCTTCATATACAGAAATGTTGAACAGTGAAGAATGTTACATGTGCAAGTCAGACTCTGCTATACAAAGGTTAACAACCTTTCCAATAAATAAAAAGCTCTTCCATGGCTACAAAGGTAGTATGCCACAACTGACAGGTTCCAAAGGTAAATAGAGTACAATTATAACATTTAAATAAATTGTATTACCATACTTAGAACATAATCAACACAGCTGCAAGCAACATCCCAGAGTGATTGTTTCAAGAATCTTTTAAATACTGATTTTAAAAATATATTTATACATATTTTAAAACAATTTTATTAAGAAAAAGTAAAGAAAGCAATAATGAAAATTACAGATACAAGAAGCTGGGAACAGATCTACCTCAAGGTCCAGCTTATACCACTCCTGGACATACACTCAAAGGACTCAATATCCTACCACATAGACACTTCCCCATCCATGTTCATTACTGTTTTATTTATAATAACCAGAAATTGGAAACACTTTACATGTCCATCAGTGGATGAATGGATCAAAAAAATGGTACCTTTACACAACAGAAGGTTACTCAGCTGTTGAAAACAACAATAACAACAACAAAATAAAAAACTGAAATCATGAAATTCCCAGGTAAATGGATAGAGTTAGGAAAAAAAACATCCCGAGTGAAAGTAACTAAGACCTAAAAAGACAAATATGGTATGTACTCTCTTATATGTAGATGTTAGCTTTTAAGTCATTGATGAGCAGATTACAATATATATAAACACAGAGGTTAGGTATTGAGTAAGGAACTAATGGGGAGGGATCTCTCTAGGCAGGGGAAATAGAATGTGTAGTTATAGGTGGATATGAGGGAAGTCGAATGGGAGGAATAATCAGAGAGGGGAAGGGAATAGGGGATAATGGAAGGAATACAAGCAAGAACAGCTAGAACTAAGGACCATTTGAGAGTTCACATGGAAGTCTACTAGAGTAGAAGCTTCCTAAAATATATAGATATGTGAAGGAAGTCCAAATGGAATCACTAAATAATAGGGAAAGACAAAGCCCAAACTAAATATCTCTCACCACCAAATGAAACTTCCAGTGCAGAAATAGGTTACAACTAATTGACTTGTTGACCAAAGAGTTCCCATGGAAATCTCCTAACAACCCAGGCTATATTGTCAAGGTTGTTAGTTGCTCTTCACAAACTGATGGTAAGACCCTATTGATGAAGCTAACACCTACATAACTCGTTGAACATGAAGTGGAATTGGTGCCTACCTATAGCCTTCACCAACTAGTGTTCATGGTACTCAAAAGTACTCTACATTCTACCACAAAAGAAAGCTAACTAGTAACCCATCTGGAAACCCTGCAACCTACAATGGTGATCCATCTATATTAAACAATGATGTAATAGTGACACAAAAGTTGTCAGGAATAACCGAACATTATCAGATTAGATTTACAACTCACGCCATGAGCTGAAAACCCTGCCTGACACTGCTCAGGTATCAAGAACTTGAGAGTAAATGGGCTACGGACCTGGGGGAAGACCAAATATTACTGTTCTGTTAAAGGAACACAACAATAAAATGACTCCTAACAGCATTCTGCTATACTCATAGATCATCCTTGCTTAGAGCCATCATCAGAGAAGCTTCCTCCTTCAATACACAAGAACAAGTACAGAGACTGACAACCAGACAACATCCAAAGAGTGACAACCTTGGAATACTCAATCCTAAATGGGATGTCTCCACCAAGTTCCTCTTCTCAGGGCTCAGTGAACCTTGCAGAAGAGAAGGCACAAATATTGTTTGAGCCAGTGGGGACAGAAGATACCAACAAAACAAGGCTGTCTAAACACAGCAAGACTGATGCATGTATACTTATAAACTCACAGAGACTGTGTCAGCATGCACAGGCCTACATATGTCTAACCCATATGAGTCCCAGTGCTGAGCAAAAACAACCCCCCATTTATAACCTAGAAGCAATCTCCAAGTAACAATTGCTTACAAAGGAAAACTTGTTTTCTCCAATGGAGTCTCACTGGGTATACAAACCATGCTTAAGGGCAGGCCCCACACCCAGCAGTCAATAGCCAACACAAAACAGTCTCAATGATATCTTTGGAGGCTTTTGTCTCATAATTCTTTGAGTATGTTTTTGTTTTTTTAACTTCACACATCTTACATATTATAGTTGTGTTTTGTGGGATTTCTCTGTGTACAAGTGTGTATATCTCTGTATCTGTATGTGTTCCCACCTACTTTGTCCATTTTTATCTATTTGCTTTGTTCTATTATGCTTAGTTTTTCTGTTTTTGTTTTGTTTTGTTTTTAGTTGTGTTTTCTAATGAGAGAAAGAGTGTGGATTTGGGCCGGGCGGTGGTGGTGCACGCCTTTAGGCCCAGCACTTGGGAGGCAGAAGCAGGTGGATTTCTGAGTTCAAGGCCAGCCTGGTCTTCAGAGTGAGTTCCAGGATAGCCAGGGCTACACAGAGGAATCCTGTCTCAAAAAAAAAAAAAAGAGTGTGGATTTGGTGGAACTTGGGGAAGATCTGGCAGGACTTGGGGAGAAAAAAACTATGATCAGACAAAATCTATTTTCAATGAAAATTAAAATTATAAAAATGTTAAATGTTATATTACTCCAAACAGGGAGTAATTTAGGACCTGCTTGGATCCAGAAACTTCCTCAAGGCCAGTGGCCCTGGACCCTTCCAGGCTACACCTTCACCTAGTGCAGCCCTAAGGCTTCATCTCTGCACCCAACTAGCCAAAACCCAGATGAGGCTGGACTCCCAGGAGTTCTAACACATCCAGGAGTGTAGGTGAGTAAGCTGCAACACCCCAGCCCCCAAAGAGGGAGTAAATTGGGATCCGCTGGGATCCAGGAACTCTCTCATGGCTAGTGGCACAGAACCCTTCTGGTCTACTCCTGCACCTGCAACTGGAGCAAACTTAAGGCTTCAGCTCTATACCCAAACCCCAAAAACCCAGAGAAGGCTGGACTCTCATAGGAACATAGGATCACAGGATCTCAGGAGCTTGGGCACACCAGGATTTCAGGAGCCCAGAAGCAGCCTGACTCCCAAGAGCTATCATGACCAGGGTCTCAGGATCACAGGATCACAGAGACAGCTGGAATCTGAAAAGTTCTGACACAACCAAGATAAGAGAACAGACAGGCTACAGTCACATATAGTGAGTGAAGGTAGTACTAGAAATAACCAGATGGTGAAAGGCAAGCACAACAACATAAGCAACAAAAACTGAGGTTACTTGGCATCATCAGAACCTAGTTCTCCCACCATAGCAAGTCCTGAATACCCGATGACACCAGAAAAACAAGATTCAGATTTAAAAATCACTTCTCATGATGATGATAGAAGGCTTTAAGAAGGACATAAATAATTCCCTCAAAGAAATACAGAATACATATAAACAGGTAGAAGACCTTAAAGAGAAATCCCTTAAAGGATCACAAGAAAACACAACCAACCAGGTAAAGGAATTGAACAAAACAATTCAGAACATAAAAATGGAAGTAGAAACAATAAGGAAATCACAAAGGGAGACTATCCAGGAGATAGGAAAGAGATCAGAAAACATGTATGCAAGCATCAACAACACAATACAAGAAATAAAAGAGAGAAGCTCAGGTGCAGAAGATACCATAGAAAACATTGACATACCTGTCAAAGAAAACTAAAAAAGGAAAACATCCAGAAAAACAAGGACACAATGTGAAGACCATACCTAAGGATAATAGGTATAGAAGAAAGCGAAGATTCCCAACTTAAAGGGCCAGTAAATATCTTCAACAAAATTATAGAAGAAAACTTCCCTAACCTAAAGAAAGAGACTCCTGTGAACATACAAGTAGCCTAAAGAACTCCAAATATACTAGAGCAGAAAAGAAATTCCCACCGGCAGTGGTGGCACACGCCTTTAATCCCAGCACTTGGGAGGCAGAGGCAGGCAGATTTCAGAGTTCAAAGCCAGCCTGGTCTACAGTGTGAGTTCCAGGACAACCAGGACTACACAGAGAAACCCTGACTCTAAGAAACAAAAAAAAAAAAAAGAAAAGAAAAGAAAATTCCCCCCATAACATAATAATCAAAACACCAAATGCACAAAACAAAGGAAGAATATTAAAAGCAGTAAGGGAAAAAGGTCAAGTAATATAAAAAGGCAGACCTATCAGAATTACACAAGACTTCTAAACAGAGACTATAAAATCCAGAAGATCCTGGACAGATGTCATACATATGCTAAGAGAACACAAATGCCAGCCCAGGCTAATATCCAGCAAAACTCTCAATTACCATAGATGGAGAAACCAAGATACTCCATGACAAAACCAAATTTACACAATATCTTTCCACAACACAAGGAGGGAAATTATACCCTAGAAAAAGCAAGAAAGTAATCTACCAACAACCCCCCCAAAAAAAAATAGCCACACAAACATAACTCCAACTCTAATAACAAAAATAATAAGAAGCAATAATCACTTCTCCTTAATATCTCTTAATATCAATGGACTCAATTCCCCAATAAAAACACATAGACTAACGGATCGAATATGTAAATAGGACTCAACATTTTGCTGCATACAGGAAATGCATCTCAGTGACAAAGACAGACACTACCTCAGAATAAAAGGCTGGAAAACAATTTTCTAATCAAATGGTCCCAAGAAACAAGCTGGAGTAGCATTCTAATATCGAATAAAACCAACTTTCAACCAGAAGTTATCAAGAAACATAAGAATGGACACTTCATACTCATCCAAGGAAGAATCTACCAAGATGAACTCTCAATTCTGAACATCTATGCTCTAAATGCAAGGGCACCCACATTCATAAAAGAAACTTTACTAAAGATCAAAGCACACATTGCACCTCACACAATAGTAGTGGGGGATTTTAACACCCTACTCTCAGCAATGGACAGATCATGGAAACAGAAACTAAGCAGAGACACAGTAAAACTAAAAGAAGTTACAAACCAAATGGATTTAGCAGATATATATAGAACATTTCATCCAAAAACAAAAGAATATACCTTCTTCTCAGCACTTCAAAATCACTTTTTGGTACCTTCTCCAAAATTGACCATATAATTGGTCACAAAACAGGCCTCAACCGATACAAGAAAACTGAAATAATCC